AATAAGATAAGTGGAATATGTCAATTATTTGATTTTCGTCCAAACTTAAGAAACTTCACCGCTAAGTTAATAATAGGTAGGTACTTCATTGTAATTTAATTCAACAGCATTGGAACTTTCAAAGCCAAATATCTGGAAAACGGTGCGAGACAGTTAGTTTTATAAAGTGTAGCTTTTTTGTGTAAAAAAATTTGGAAAATAAGAATTTGATACCAAAGATGAGATACCATGTCGTTTTTAACACATTTAATCTACTGCAGCTAGCGCCCTCTATGAACTTTAACCAAAATGTGAACACATTTCAATTCCTCCACTTAAAGAACTCCAAACCTCAAAATTTTGTGAAGATATTTGCATTTGTTAAGGAATAAATGAAAAAAACTAAAATAATATTTTACATTTAACACCCTTTATCTCTTTAACTATCAACTTTTGGACTAAGGTAAGTTCGGCTAAATCGCAATATTTGTGCTTCGAGAATCTACTCATGAATTTTGACCTATTAGCTCGGGACCACCCTGTATATAATTTTTTTTAATTGTATAAAAAAATAAATTTAAATTAGTCATCTTTATTTTGAAATTTGAGAAATTTAAACAATTTTTTTTATTCATATATTTTTTTTATTAAATATAAATTTTTCTTCTACATCATGTGTAAGTATTGAAACCACATTTTATCGTTTAATTTTGTTGGACAAACAAAAAAAAACGATAATTTTGTCGGACAATTAAATTCTCTGATTAATATTGCATTTTTTTAAATAATGACGCTTTTGTCCGACAGCTGGTTATCACCAACCATGTTGTCGTTAAGTTGACATCTTCGGGGCGTCGGACTGCAAAAACTTCTCAAGAATTTTGTCGGACAATAAGATACTTTCATTTCAAATCATATTACCAAACCCTCCCAGAAAAATCACAAAATGATTCCAATAATCCTTTGGCATCAAATCACGGCTTTACCATAAATGTTAATGTTAATATTAATAAGTAGCTAGATTGTAAGTTTGTAGCATTTTAGGTTATTTGTTGACCTATTGCCGTTTCAAATTGGTTTTCTAATAAAAACTAAAAAAATAAACCAAACATTGTCTTTTTATGATTTCTTATAAGTCACTAGAGGGTTATAAGTCATAACTTACTAGTGACTTATAACTTACAATTACTCACTAGTGACTTATAGGCCACATTATTCCTTTAAAACCAAAGAAATTATAGTATCATTATAAATATGTTGGATAAAAAATTGAAATTTGTTATTTAACGAAAGTAATTTTATTTATTGTAAACAATTATAGTGAAGTTAGAACTAACGCTGGTTATCTAAGCTAAGTATTTTATAAAAACACTGACCATAGCACAACAGCACAATACAAAACAATATGAACATGACACTTTACGATAGATTAGCAAAATCATGAAGTGGGCGACATCTGTTAGTGTATAACAAAGTCACTGTAGAAGTACCTACCTAACCAAAAGAATTGGTTATTCATTCACGTTGTAAGTATTTCCTATTTCTTTGATGTCTTTTGAGAAGCCCTTCTACCCTTCTGGTAGTAACTACTGTATAATATACAGTTGCACGAAGTCGAGAAACATATATGATGTAACTCAAGCTCCCTTTGTGATATTCCCTCAAAATTTTTACGCGTATTCAGGTATTCTATTTTCGAAACAGAGAGAGTTGTACTAACCAAATTTGGACAGGACATAGCTAATACAATACGGAACATCGCCTTACTACTGAAAATGTTGTCACCGCCGTTTTTTGTGGTAAAAAATCTAAATACATAGGTAGCTACTCAAAATAGTCAGTATAATACGTATTTATCTTCGTTAGAGTTATTGATTGAATTACACTAATACATACTTCCTCTAAAACAGTGTCAATAAGTTAAATTACAAATTTTCACCTAAAACGCAACTGCCGTAATTGTAAGCAAATTTGTGGCCATCTCTACATCTAAAATCCTTCAAATTCACAACGCCATCTATTGGTTCGTAAACTTCGCCATATAGAAAAGGAATAGATTAACTTTACTGTTCTGTGGGTGTATGGGACATCGACAATCGTCATTCTATGTTAAATTATCTAAAGATATACCAGTGGTGCACCCAAGGAATGCAAAAGGGTCGAACTCATTTAGAATATATTATTATTTTGCTTTGTTTTGAGTATAAGTTATTTTTCTTCGGGAAATCATTTTGTTAATTCATATAAGAAATTCACACATTTTGTTCAACGGGTTCATACAAATAGATTTCCGTTCGCAAACGACGGAGGAAGCTGCGATTGCTCCTGCTCTCCTATTTCCTAGATAAACTCACTCTCGAAGCATAAATTTATATAAGGCACAATGACTTATTGTCAACGGCAGGGAATGAGAACGGGCTGTATAAGGAAACTAACAGATAGAGATGTTAAAAAGGTACATAAAGTATACGCACATACCGCTGCTGTGATGTATATGGCAGCAAAAAGGAGTAATGGCTACTTTAAATCATATTGGCAAAAACATATATGTAAAGTGCGGCGGTTTTTAGAAGACGGTATTCTCATAGGCGACTTGTTAAAGTCTTGATATAAATTGACAAATTAAAGGGAGTTTTTGTTAGATAATCAAAGGGGTTGAAACAGTGGCGGCTCTCGACTCTGAACCGTACCAGGCGGGGTGCGGAAAAATTTAGGTACAAAGTATTGAAAAAAAAAACAAATATAATTGGGTAGTTTTATTTTAAGTACTATTGAAATATAGGGAAAATGCACTCAACATTACTTTTTATAGTGAAAGTTAATTATTCTACATTTGTTCGAAATAAAATTTTAATCACTTTTTCATTAGTTCCCGCATCATTGATTTTTGCAAGTGCTACAATTAATTTAAACATTTACAATTTTTTAAAAATCACTCAAGAAACAACATGTAAGCAACAAAATGTTACACCACACCTAAACAAAAACGTTTAATTAGAAAAAAAAGCGCTGAATAGCTATTATTTCATTAAAGTCGGACTAAACAGAGCCTAAACTGCATATGCGGTATTCCTACACCGTCTTTTACTGCTGCACGCGGTAACCATGACCACCGTTATAAACACTTTTACAGATGTAGAGGCGAGCTACGAGGAGCTCACGTATTTGGAGTTTTGTAAACGAATTTTGCTAGTCGAGTTAAACTGCAAACTAAATTTTAAATTCATTTTTTTATTATGAAAATTTCTAAGCGGGGCGGCACCCCAGAGTCCAGTGGCACGCATGATTTTTCCTATGTTGCAAAATTTTCAACTTTTAAATGATTTCTCAAAATTCACTATTCTGTTTATTTAAGAAATTGGACACACGCAAAAAATAACAAACAGGAGACATATCCAATTGGGAGCTACAGCATGAATTAATGTCAAATCCAATCTTTCCTGACTTGTATACATATTTTTTCATAATATCACAATAAAGACACACAAATACCGAAATAAATAAATTTATACTGCAAAACAACGTTTCAATTCACCTAAACTAATCACAGTCAGAAGTTATTGACACTGAGATTCACAAACTAAACACAACGCTTTATCGACATTTTTCTCCCTCGTGTCCGGATCACTTATATTCGACGATGGTCCAACCTATACAACGACTCAAACTCACTCCGATCGAACCATTCCTGCGCGCAGCGGTCGCGTCCGTAAATTTTTTATACTTTATACCCCTATACCCATATATTTTCCTAATATCTAGCATTACACTAAACATTTATTTGATGTATAAAACATATCAATATGAAAATAAAACATTTTTCTTTTGTTTCAGATGCGGAAAGTGATGGCAGAATGGGATCTACGGAACCGCGCTGGTGATGATTTGGGCCTTATAGGTTCAGTTGATTATTTTAAAAGCTACTGGCCTGTTAAGTCCCAAGTCGCTACTTGCAAAATCAACGAGGAACATAGAATAAGTGAAATCTGCTTATAAACGGTAATTTCCTAAGAAAAATATGTTAGTGATAATTATAAGTGATGGTATAGTCTTTCCGATCTCAATTGAAGACCAAAGAGCTAGGCAGTATGTACCAAGTTCGGTCGCTACACAGCAACTCAACATTGAAATATTTGAAATACTTGTTCCCACGTTTATTTAGCCATACCCATATACTAACAGGTCCGGTCGAACTAAACATGGGAGGTGGTAGAAATATATACGCCCAGTTGAATGCGCGCGCGGGCAAACGGCGCACAAACACAACCGCACTGGGCGACCGGGCATAAATTTCAGTTGTTGACAAATTGCTTAGCAGTGCAGTGCAGCAATGCCAAGCAGTAATACATTTTAATGCAAATGTAATTGTTTTTTGATATGTTATAAATAAATTTTACCATCAATAGACATAATTAAAATATGTTATTGGCCAAATGAACATCTAATAGAAATTTCTACACACTATAAACAAATTATTCTATTTTTTCTATATTCTATATTTCTATTTTATTGCTAGGCGTTTTTATACATGTTCAACTGACTTCGGAAAGACTATAACACACTATGTTTAGAAAAATATATAACCAGTAATAATGTAATTTTTTTAAGTTTTTTGAAGAGTTAAGGGGAGCGAGGCCCCCCTGGCTACGCCCATGTACAGCCTTCTTCATATATTAATAATTATAAACAATAGTAATACAGCATGTCTATAAAAATGTACTTACCAATTGTAAATGTGTAGAGACCTGTATAGATTAAGATAAAAAATTTTTTTGTTTGGGCAATTTTGGGGTTTCTTAGCGGCATTTGCCAGTATTCCGTTTGCAATGCCCTTGGAAATCCCAAATGTGTTCAACATGAACAACTTTTTTAAATTCTATGACACATCCTACCTACTTAATAAAATGCCATGTCTTTAAAATTGATTATTGATTTCTACGCGTGAATTTTGTAATAATTTCCTAATTTTAATAACTTTTATTTAACAAAGGTCGATAATATGGGAAAATAAAACAAATAAATCCGAACATATGATTTTTTTATTCATCCCCATACATCGTTCTCCATAAATATCTTTTTAGAAGAAACGTTTTCTTCAGTCTCTGCTAGCTCTTCTTCTATGATGGGGTCTATGGACCTTTTGGATGTGGAAAAACTGCCGCTACTGGAAAACGTGCCGTGTACATTTCAAAATTCAAATATACTGTTCTTTAGATCAAATGTTTGTTTCTTGTAATTTTTTCTCATTTTTGAAAAAACTTTATATGAAGCTTGGTTTGCGAGATGTTTAAGAGGGCGCTACAGCAAATAGGCAACCAGCAATACATTTTTATAGATTTTATTACACAGTTTGTCTAAATATGAATTAATGCACAAATTATAGACTTTCCTCCATTCTAACGCAGATTTTTTATAAAATGGACTTAGTTTGAAACCCAAATTTCTTTTTGTTGTAAAGAAATTTGTAATTTGCATCGTAAATTACAAATTTCTTCAAACCAACAAATTATTTGAGTTTCAAACCAAGTCCATTTTATAGAAAATCTGCGTTAGAATGGGGGAAAGTCCGTTATTTGTGCATATTTAGACAAACTGTGCAATAAAATCTATAAAAATATATGCTGGTTGCAATAGAGCCCTCTTAAGGGGGGAAACCATATTAGAAGGTTCAAAAAATAAGATTTTTTTATCGCATAAATTGTTAGTAGAACTGTTCAAGAATACACTGGCAAAATTTCAAAACGAAATTCGTATTCGTTCCCATTTTATGAGCCTAAAACGGAACACACATCGGGTCAGCGTTCAGGTGCATAGCGGGTAGTCTAGTCACTTGTTAAGCCAGAAAAGAACAAATGCAAGCTCAGAATGCTGCCTATGAGGAAGAAGGAATGCTAAATGGTGCTGAATCACTGATTGATTGGAAAGCACTCTAAATTATTAACAATTTTCTTAAATTTCTAGTTTTCGGAAGTCTTCAAATGCCTTTTTCTCGAAACAACATTTTTTTTAATTCACAGGAACTCTAACTCAAAAAGTTACGAATCGATCGTTATGAAAAGTGAAAGCGTGTTTCTTTACGAAATTACAAAGAACATGAACCAACAATTGGGATGATATAATTTTAAGGGTGTCTTTTATTCAAAATAGGTGAAAGAAAATTGTGAAAACCTTTACTTTTTTCAAACACGTGCGTAAACTTCAATTTTCACAATTTTTACCCGCAAAGAGGTTCATATTCTTAGAAAACGTGTTATAAATGCAGAAAAACAACCATTTTGCTTCCAGATCAAAATTGTGACCACATTTCCTGTAAACAACCAACTCGAATGATGACCTTCAGTGGACAACAGCCCATAATCCTGGCATTTTCAATACAAATGACTTGAAAAAATTTGTAAACGTATGTCAAGATATTGATAAAATAATGTTAAACTCTGATCAAATTCTAATCAATTTGTTCCACTCAAAAAAAATTTATGAGAAACGTCTGAAAATCAGCCGCTTAATGTGGTTAACCCCCTTATGCGACAAACTAATTTTACTTGGAAATATTCTTGGATAGCACCAATTCCAATATACATATATGGATATGCATCTTTTTAAACATGTATTATATTATTAGCTTTCATGTTTTTTTTACTTTATTTCTAATTGAAACAAATTAAAACAACTTTTTTGATTTTTTTTTTGAAAGAAAGTCAAACAGTATTCTTCGATATAAGAAATCTAGTTATACAAAGGATATTTAACACCACCGAAAAAAGTCCTAACGGCTGATATTGCGGCAAACGACTCTGGTACTCCAGATTTTTGGAGTCGCTGATTACGAGCCTTAAATCAGAATTAAAAAATTCAAAATGGCGGATCCAATATGGCAGATGGAATAAAAAAGAATAGTAACGAAAACTTATAGAACCAATAGAACTTTATATGTTTGTAATTTGTTTCTCCTCTCATTTTAAGTCTTCACCTGATGCTTCTCAATTTCCGAATAACGACAAATACGCCGAACTAATCAATTTTAAGACGATTTCTCAGAGAGGAAAGGAGATATTCGAACGATTCAAAATGGATCTTGAAGGGAAAAAGTAGTACTTTCGGATGCCATAACAAATTTTGTGGAGGAAAATTACCTGGTGATGTAACATAACCTTAAATATACCGAAGGAGACGTGTTTTTCGCACTTTTAGGTTAGAATACTTCAAAAACCTAACGTGATGCAGCAATTGTGTTCAGATTTGAAAGTAAAGTCTTTCACCTGAGTTAAAAATTTGTCGAACTTTGTAATTGATGGAGAATTTGTACCTATAGAAACAAACAGTCAACGATATATTAATACAGAGTGTTAATTTAAAGAGTAACAATTCGATATATTTGTTATATAAATCAGAGGAGCTCTTTTGTTCTTAGCAATAATTTTAAAGTATTATTTAAGGCTAACTATTTTTATAATTATACCGGGTGTCCCATTTTAATGTATCAGGCCGTATAATTTTTTTAATTCGAGTTTTATAAAACAATATTTCGAACAAAAGTTATTGGGTTTCGATGGGTTAAATTGTGACCTTGAGTTTAACCTTGAAGTCAATTATCAAGGTCATTTCAAGTTCAACCTTGATTTTTTAAATGGAAGCCCATTTTTTTTATTGCAGATTCGTATTCTGCGGAAAAAAATATGCAACTTGTATGAAACATTTTTTTTGAAAATCTCTCGCCAGACTGTGCTGTACTTTTACTGTTCCATTTTAATTCTCAGTCTAATATCTAGGGTTACCAGATCTATTTCATAACAGACCCGGAGACATGACCCACTTGTATAAGTGATGCCTAAAAAGAAAAAAAAGAAAAAAAAACGATTATGCAAATGCAATCAGAAATTGTTTTCGAAGGAAAAAAAAGACGCAATACTTACTTCGTGACAAACCCGGAATCAGGAAATGTGGTCAAGATTTTTCCACAACGAAGAAAACCCGGAGAAATGACATGTTAACCCGGAGCTTGAAGATGTACCATCAAAACCCGGAGATCTGGCAACCCTACTAATATCTCAAGAAATAAAATATTTCCAACAAAAGGTATCAGGTTTGGGGGGGGATCAAATTACCATGACCTTGAAATTAACCTTAAAATTCAATTATCAAGGTAATTTCAAGGCCAATCTCGATTTTTTAAATGGAAACCCATATTTTTATTACAAGAAGCCTTTTCAAGAAAAATTTTTCACACAAAAGTTACGTATTTTTTTCCGCAGAATAAGAAGCTGTAATAAAAATATGGGTTTCCATTTAAAGTCAAGGTTGGCCTTGAAATGACCTTGAAAACTGACAAAGGTTAATTTCAAGGTCACAGTAATTTGATCACCCCCTGACAACTTTTATTGGAAATATTTTTTAAAATTATTTCTTGAGATATTAGCCTGAGAATTAAAATGGAACAGTAAAAGTACATCGAACTCTGATGAGGGAACGAAGCATTTTCAAAAAAATATTTAATACAAAAGTTACATATTTTTTCCCACAGAATACGAATCCGCAATAAAAAATATAGGTTTCCATTTAAAAAATCGAGGTTGGCCTTGAAATGACCTTGATAATTGACTTTTAAGGTTAATTTCAAGGTCACGGTAACTTGATCCCCCCCGAAACCTGACAACTTTTGTTGGAAACATCCATTATTTCTTGAGGTATTAGCCTGAGAATTAAAATGGAACAGTAAAAGTATAGCGCACTCTGGCGAGAGAACGAAGCGTATTCAAAAAAATATTTAATACAAAAGTTACTCATTTTTTCCCGCAGAATACGAATCTGCAATAAAAAATATGGGTTCCCGTTAAAAAAATCTAGGTTGACCTTGAAACGACCATGATAATTGACTTAAAGGTCAAATTCAAGGTCACCATAATTTGACCTCCTCAAAACCTGATCACATTTGTTTGAAAAATTCGAAATCGAATTAAAAAAATTATGCGGCCTGGTACATTAAAATGAGACGCCTTGTGTAACTTGTTTTTTTTAATTTATTTCAAGTTTGTTTGCTATTACAGTCGCATATTCTTTGTTTTTCCATAATTTTAAGTTTTCGATATTTATACAACAGTGATGAGTTCTGGAATGTATGTTTCGCCACCCCGTAACTGTGTTAATCCAACGAGACGTATTTTAAAAAAGTAACCGACTGAATAAATGAATAAACAAAAAATTAATTAAAGAAACAAACAAATAAATAAATAAACAAATCTCCATTACCCTCAACCCTCCCCCGAAAGAAAGGAAACCCTCGTACCTATTAAAACTATCCGTCTTCCGGCGCTTCGCGGCGGGCTGTCCCTCCACGCTCCTCCTCTTTTTCGGAACGGGCGAAGGCAAGGGAGTTTTTATTCCCAACAATGTCGCCTGTCTCCTCGCGAACGTCGTCATAGTGTACGCTTCGCCTTGGGACAGCGTACTGAGGGCCATCGCCGCCTGGTCTCTCTCGTAGAGGCTCACGTAGGCCGACGTTTCGTCCAACCAGGAAACGTAGACCTTACCTTGCGGTAAAAAAAAATTGGATTAGCCGGGAAATTTGGATTAGCCAGAAAATTTGAATCAGCCGGAAAATTTGGATTTTCCGGTAAACAACTTACCGAAGGGACTGAAGAGTTGCGTGATGTTGCCGGTTTTCCACTCCTTGGGAAACGTCATGTAGAACACGTGATCTCTGGACACGGTTACTGAAAACGGTGATATACGTTAATGCAATGATTTACGTTTGTGTTAGCAAATCCTGCTTGTCAAAGGATATACCGATTTTTCAAAAGGAGTGGATTTATATACAGGGTGTTTGGTAAGTTAACAACAATACATGTTTTACGATTAAAATATTGTTTTTAGTTTCGCCAGTGGCGTGCGAACACGTCTCTAAATATTGTTAAAGAAAAAAATGATACACCACTGATTTTTCTTAAAATAAAAATTATTTTTAAATTCCTTGTTCAATTTGGAAGAGAAAAGGTATCTGGATTGTTTTTCGTATGACGCACCGTTTTCGAGTAAAAAAAATAAAATCGATTTATCGCATGGCATAATTCGGTTTCAATAATTTGAAAAATAGAAGAAATTATGCACTTAACTGCTTCACACTCAAACACTCAAAGTGACAGCTATTATTAATTTTGTCAAACAATAACAAAAACGAGTACACAGCCAACTTGCTAATTTCTGTTTAGATAGTAAATAGTGAACTGATAAAATTTTTTTAGACTGATATAATTTTTTGTAATAAAATTGGTACAAAAAAAGCTAAGTGCATAATTGCTGCTATTTTTCAAATTATTGAACCCAGTTTACGCCAATAAATAAATCGATTTAAATTTTTTTACTCAAAAACGGTGCGTCATAAGAAAAACAGTCGAGATACCTTTTCTCTCCCAAATTCAACAAGGAAATCAAAAATAATTTTATTTTAAGAAATATCAGTGGCGTACCATTTTTTTCTTTAAAAATATCCAAGGATGTGCCTGTGCGCACGCCACTAGTAAAATTAAAATCAATATTCTTATCGTAAAACATGTATTGTTGTTAATTATCAAAGCTTGTAAAATTTCATTAAAATATTTTGAGCGGTTTCCACAACATTTATAAATTTGCATTTTTTTTATTGAAACTTTATCACCCTATAGATCAGAAACTAAGCGTTTTCGGAATATGGTGTATTAAGGAGGTGTATATCACAAATCACTTGCACTACAACCTCCTGTAAGGAATGCATCGACTTACAAAACACCCTGTATACAGGGTGTGGCATGTGTAATCTATAAAAATTAAACTTATATCAGAGAGTGCGATATATTGAAATTTGTGTCTGGGCTTCCACAGGGGTCTCGCTGTGGACCAATTTTATTTAACTCGTTGATTAATATTATTGGTTATGTTCTGAACCAGTTTAAATATCTTTTGTTCGCTGACGAACGACTGATTTGTTGCAAACTGATATTGGAAGTCTTTTTAATTGGTCTCTTTTTAGATGTAGACGCACAAAAAGAGTAACTAAAAATGCCACAAGGAAATAATATTTACAGACCATATAACTTAATCGGAGGTATGGCTATAAGAGGGCTCTATAGCGAATAGGCAACCAACAATACATTTTTTACAGATTTTATTACACAGTTTATCTAAATATGAATCAATGCACAAATAAGGGACTTTCCTCTATTCTAACACAGATTTTCTATAAAATGGAGTTAGTTTGACACTTAAATTACTTTTCGTTGTACAAAAATTTGTAATTTGCATAGTAAATTACAAATTTCTTCACACCAAAAAGTTATTTGGGTTTCAAACTAAGTCCATTTTATAGAAAATCTGCGTTTAAATGGGGGAAAGTCTGTTATTTGTGCATTAATTCATATTTAGACAAACTGTGCAATAAAATCTATAAAAATGTATTGCAGATTGTCTATTCGCTATATAACCCTCTTGAAATATAAAAATAGCAATGTAGTAATTTTATCCGGGACACTTTTTGTATTATCGACATATCGGTGCTAAGGAATGATCTATTTTAACTGGGACACCCTGTATAATAAAATATGAGTCCGGGTCGATTAAGGGGAATACTTACAGTCTTTGCCGGCCAAGTTTATGTACTGGTTGTCCACAAGCAACATCAAAAATATTCTAGAAGCGAAATAGAAACATTAGGTCTATCAAAATAGACTATTTTTTTGTTTCAACGATTTTAATAAACGTAATATGCTTACTTATTTATGTAAGGCCTCAACAATTGAAAATCACAAAAAATATCCTCGTTTTTCATTGACACAGAAGTTCCTAAAATAAAAAAATTACGATTCAGAATCCAGTCGCCAAAAATCGAATAAATAATCGTGAATGAAGTAAAAATAGTTTTAAAAGAATCCGAAATTTATCGTGAGTTATTTACCCAAGTATTTCCACATGGACAAGAAACTGAGGCCGGTTATATAAGCATCATAACCAGCTTCGTGTTCTTTCCCGTCGTTTAAATTGTATCCGGGTTGGTTTTGTTCGAATTCTGAAAAATCAATGAAAAAATGCACTTAACGAAACTGTACGTTCGAAGAACGTTTGTGAACGTACCAACGTTGGGAATCTCAAATGGTTTTTCGGATACGGCATCTAACAAATGTTTCAGTACGTTGGATTGGATCAATTCCTTGAAAGGCTCCAAGCTGGACATGTACTTGGTGTCCAAAATTCTAAAATAAATAAAACGTTCCAAACAATCCACGACATTTGACTCTTTAAATCAGAAACCGGATTATACTTTTCTGAAGGTTTTCAACGATTTCGTCCCCAGAATTACTCCATCGAATCAGGTTTTCGAGACATCCTAAACGAAAAATGCGAAAAATGGCGTTTTTAAACTATATTTGCGATTTAGACTAGGCAGTATCTGTTTCGGTTTGGGTGAATCATATATACACGGAGATTTTTGGTTTTTTGGTTTTCAAATATCACAAGAAATGAAAATTTTTCTATGCGCATAAAAAAAAACGTGGGTTTAACTTTTGGCAGCACAATATGTTAAAAAAATTCGAATAATGTCATACTTTTCTTTAAGGTTTTCGAAATTTTGTCAATTCCTTTTCATTTCTAAATTTCAACAGTTTTTATTTTTTATATTCGATCCATCACATTAGATCCGCCATTGTGAATGGTGCAATTCTTGCTCTGACTTGAAATTCGTAATCAGCGACATCGAAAACCTGAAGATCCCATAAGCAATTTGATACTTCTCTTTGAAAGCAAAGGAAACAATTTTTCGGAGTGAAACAGACGTAGTTTTCTATATAAAAATTCGTAATGTAACATAACCTCAAATAAAGCGAGAAACTGTTTTTCGCACTTTTAAGTTAAGAATATCTCAAGCACCTAACGAGACGGAAACACCTTCGGAAAAGTACAAACTGATTTCTGTTTTAAAACTTTGTCAGTCTGTGTGTGATCTTTGCCGATGTCACAAAGAACTGTCATTTTTTAAAGGTAATAATTACCTACTTGGGAAATAACGAATGTGCCAATTCCTTGAATTCGACGTAATCATCAGGCAACGGATTCAAAAATTTGTCCAAAGTGTGCAACAGATCCAGGCATAAGTTGTGCCCTATTATCAGTTTACCCTACAATAAAAACAAAAAAAACTAAACAAATGGCAAAAATTATTTCAATATAACTGAAATAATCGTTTATCGCACAATAAATCAATATTAGAACAAAATTATACAGGGTGATTCACAATATAACCAAAAAAATTTGGGAATAGATACGTCATGAAAAATGGAGTCAATATCGTAAAAAAAATTTTTGAAAAAATCCTTACTTTCCGAGAAAAAAATTATTGAAGTTGTCGTTTTGTGCGCTGTACGCAATGCACTCTCTCTCCACGTAGCCCCAATAGCCCCGAATACTAAAATCGGATTTTATTAACGTTTTTGCGATAGTGTTTACATTAGTTTTTCTAATGTCAAAAATAGCTTCGGCGTATAGCAACTCGTAGTTGATGAATATCGTTTTAATTTACGAAGAAGCAAGACAACATTTGTGTTATGGTGAAAGATTGAATTAGCGCAATACCTTTAAAATAAAGTAAAAAATTTCCAGTACATGCCCGCTATTAGCAAGGTACACTCTATATAAAAAACCAAATTATAGTTTTACCTTTCCATAACCTAGTATGTCCAAAATATCGTAATCGGAAACTTTATAACTAAATTAATATCAAGAACTTACTGAATTAACGATCATCCTTAAGACCTTGGTGAAACCAACGAAATCCTCGAGTTCCCCAATTTGCTCCTCGTATTTCTGTTTCTCTATCTCTTCCTCCTCTTCCCGAGTCCTTAACCTTCTCACGAACAATATTCTGTCCTTATTCTCTACCTGTCGAGTCTCCAACGTAATCTTATCTGCGAACTTCTCGGCTTTCGTTTGATAAACCAACCGCCTCAAAAACGAGTTGCATTTCGGTAACTGCAACTCCACTTCGTCGCTTTCCAAAAACGTTTCTATTTGCTGCCTGGAAAATACACGGAACATAGGAACGTAGTATACAAACGAGGTACACATTTACAAAAATAAACAATCGTCACCATAATGTATTAAAAAATGTTAAAGTACTTACACCACATCATCGACGAATTGCCGTGCATCTTCTGGTATCGGGATAATATCATTCGTCTCATTCTGATGCGACTGTATACTCTCAGTTCGTTTTTTATACGCTTCTTCTAAGTTACCCCTATATATCTCTTCTTCAACTATGTTGAGATAAGAAATACCTTCTTTGAACAGCTTATTGAAGTCGAAACCCTCGTGTATGAGAAAATTTATACTAGACGTTTGACATAGAAACCTCTGATCGGGTACATTTCGATTGATTGGTCTCCGAAATATGTAAAAGTTATAAGTGTGATTCTTAAACACATCTTTTTCCTCATCGTACCTAAATTAAAAGAATTTCAAATATAAATTAAAGTAAAGGTTGCTTACAATACCTAAACATGCTAAGTCCGTACTGTATAACTAAAAATTCTTTACAGTTCGAACGAAGCTTTCCGTAATACTGTCCGGGTGTGTCGAAAGTGTTTATGTTCCGAACCAAATCAAGCCCCGTTAGTTCACAGTCTACGCTTAAAAACGTGCAGTCGTTAATCGTTTTTTCTACGTCTGGTAAAACAGTTTTGAAATCTGAAAAAAAAATGTTTATTTTAACCTCATTTTTTAGAAGCTAGTTGTATTAATAAAAATGTGACTTACTTGATGCAGTAACTTCCATTTTCAAATAATTTCATGCAGTACCGAAAGAAACTATCTGTACTGTACCTGAAATGTTTTTAAAAAAATGGAATGAATAAACTGTTGGAAGTTTTTTTCTATTTCTTTATCTATGGTGGTTATGACTTATGAGTTGAATGGTGCTTTTGTTTCCATGAGGTTAACTTAATTTTTAATTTTAGAGCAAGTATGCAACCATATATACAAATATGATAATTAAGTGTTGCTCTACTCTAATGTTAAACGTGATATTTAAATTGGTAAAAAAAGTGTATATATAATATATATTTCATCCTTATTTATTATATTTGATATGTCTTTTATAACACATAGTAGGTACTCTAGTATATAATATTTTGTTGGTAAGTTTTCTTTTCTTTTTAATGTGACTAAAAAATTTACGCCAAGAACCCAAAACTTGGTTGTAATGCAACCATATATACAAGCGCGGCAATTAAGTGTTGCTTTTACAGAAAAACAAGATAAATATTAAAAACGAATTGCACTAAATTGAATCGTTATTTATTACGTGAACATATTTGGTATGCGCCTTTTATAACACATTATGATTTTTTGTTTGTAAAATTAGTGTTTTCTAATGTGACAAAAATTTATATCAACTTAAATCTTCGTTATGCAACCATATATACAAATGCGCCAATTAAGTGTTGCATTTACAAAGAATTCAAGGTAAATATTAAAAACGAATTGCACTAAATTTAATCATTATTTATTAGGTATACATTTGGTATAGGCCCTTTATAACACAAAATATAGGCACTTTTAGTGAACAATCATTGTTTGTTAGTAAAATTACTGCTTTCTAATAACAGACAAAAAAAATTTATTTCAGCTTTCGCCACAACTAGTTCATCAACAGTCACAAACTCAACGTCTTCTTTACTTTGTCCTTATCTCCTTGCTCCACTTTCATCCTCCCGGTCTTCTCGAAGCCCAATATTTTGTTCTCATTTTTCTTATATTGTTCCACGATCTCGTCCAACGTTTTGTCCGCATCGAGAACAAGCACCGGGATGGTGTTAAAACGTTCGTCGTTCGTCATGAGCCAACGTTCGTGGCTCTCGTGAAGCTCCTTCAAATACTGCAGGGACAAACCCGCCTCTTCCGGCCTAGCCCGGGCCTTTACCCTTTCAAACACCACTTCCGGACTGCTCCTCAAATAAACTGAAACGAACGAATATAAAACCAGAAAAAAAAACGTTCGCCGTAACGAACCTATCAAATCCAAGCTGATATCTACGTTGGCCCTCATCCACCGGTACCACTGGTCCATGACGGCGTAATCGGCCCCGTGCAAGTACCCGCTTTGGTAGGCTTGCTCCAGGAAACAGAACCTGTTGTTTTGTACGGACCGTTCGAACATCTGAACGGTCGTCGACGAGCTTTTTGGCTTCGTGGTTTGTACCCTCAGTCGAGTGAATTGGACGTAGCTTTGGAAGACTTTTAACCACTCGTGGATGTCGGAATACATGAGTTCCAGGAGGTTGTGCCCCTGGAGGTTCCGCCACCATTCTATCGGTTCCTGTAACCCACGATTTTCGGATCACACCCTTCAAATTCTAAAATTCGACAACAGTATTGAGCCAGATATACTTACTGCGAACGTTTCGATGCCGGGCATACTAGAAAAGTATTTGATGAGTGTGGATTTGCCTGCGCCAATATTACCCTCAATCGACACTCTGAAAGGTCTATCTGTGGGAGTTTTAACGTTTGTCAGTTCCCTGAGAGGCGAAATTCCAACGAAATTGGTCTTTTTCGAGGGCGACATCGTGGGACTGGCCGCTGGACGTTTTTGACCGGATATAGTAGTTATCACCCCTTCCATTTCTGATAAGTTACCACGAAAGGAATGACTAAAAAAAATTTCAACACCTGATCAAATGTTCAAAAAATTATTTTTAACAATAAACAAAGTTGAGCATAAAAAAGTAGAATTTCAATACTTATCCTTTCAAAATAAAAGCATAATTTGTATTGGCCTTTAAACCTCAATTTTAGAATAATAAATTTGAAAATAAAATAGTAAATTGAGGTGTGCATAATTCCAAACAGTAATAACTTTTTATATATTTATTTCCTTCTTATAAGTTAATGCTTATAGAGAAAGTTGAAAAATTAGAATTGAGATAAGTAGGGTAACAAAGTACTCGAACCAACAATTTTATAGATTATCATAATTTTAGTAGTATCATCTCACATTAGCGACGTTCACCGAAATTATAATGGTAAAAGCAAATACATTCAAGCAAATGGAAGTTTATCACTAAACAAATTGAAGGAATACTGTATATAATTCTTAATTGTTTATCTAACTTGCAGTGAACAGTGTTGAATTGGTTGATGAGTTTAATGTGCAATTACGCTCATTTATCGAATACAATACATTAAAATTTGACCTGGACCTCGAACTGTCTTGAATAATTATGAATTTAGTCTACCTAGAGTCAATAGTGAGATAGTAACTACTGTTTATAACCTATAAATTTCACTTGATCTCTCTTTTTACCCGGTTATAATAATTAAACAGCGCGATGTGGTGGTTTAGACAAATCAGGAAACATTTACCTATAGCCACAGGTGAGTACTTCTTTCTTGAATGCACTAAACACTGATAAAAATGCACTTTTTAACATTTACACTACTTGGGACATACACTTCTTGATTTTTCTTGACTCGGAATTATCCCGCCAAGTGGGTTACGATGAAAACTGTAAACACGATATTTGATCCAGAAAATTCGGATAACGGATTCGTATTTCTTTTAAATATGGGTTAATTTGTAAATTATAATTTGTAGGGCCATTTATGCCTGGCTGTATAGACGTCATGCTGGGATACAACAAAGAAGATCCCTTCTTGAGGCTATATTACCCTACACATGAGAAAAAAGACGCACAAGTACTTAAATTAACTTGACTATCTACCTATAATGTAATGAATTTTTCTTGCAGAACAATATAGAAAGATTTATCCCCTGGATTCCAGATGATAGCTATCTAACGGGGTTTTCAAAAGTTATAATGATTCACGTTTACATTTTGCGGATACTCTTTTGGTGGTCAGGTAATTTATATAATTATTACGAATGAATTAATTTCCTTAGCAAAAGAAATACCTACAGAGCGGTTCTTATACTATACCTATAGCACAGCAACAGCAATAGATTGACTGAATCCTGAATCGATATATTAATCAATATCTAATCTATCTAGGGGACTGTGTATTATGGGCGAATTCTTTCGCCTTTCGCTCATGATCGTCAGATCATAACCTGCAATCGTAGTAGCTGATTGGCTAATTTTAAAAAATTAAAACGGATTTTTAAATTCATCCAATCAACTGCTTTGATTTCAGATTATAATATGAAAGATCATGATCGAAAGAACATAGGAACTGAGCTATCATAGCTATGTTTAGTGGGGTTATGTTATATACCTGTCATTGTGTAAACAGTACATGAAAGTAAAGAAATATTCTAAATTTTGAAATAATTCTTCAACAACTATCGTGTTATTGCAAACGAAGAAAAGAGAATTTGCATATTCCTTACAGTTAGAAACTACCATAATCATATTTTGGCAGGTTATCTGGTACCAATAATTTTACTCCATTTAAATACACTATAACACAGCAATTTTTAGATCGAATATGTATTCCTGCACTGTACGGAGCAAAAATAAAGACAGACGAAAAACTAAAGTGCATAGTGATGTCGCATGGGTTGGGAGGTAACAGATTTTTATACACAAACATTAGTTGCGAGCTAGCATCTAGAGGATTTTTAGTCGCTTGTTTAGAACACAGGTATAACTAACTCAAACTTCACAAGTACATAATTTAAAGAAAGAACGTTTTTCTTTCAAGGGACTTGTCGGCATGTAACACCTACTACTATGAGAATCGCGAGGATGCCCTTAAAGATAAACGTACGCCTTTAGATTTCCTTTACATCAAACTTGGGGAGAACCACTACAAAGAGAGAAACAAACAGATCAAAATAAGGTCGCAGGAATGTGGGAAAGTGTTAGATTTCCTTATAAACTTGAACAAGGGTATAGTTCCTTACAACGTTATAAACGATGTACCCACAAAGTATGATGTCTCGTTCCAATTAGACGATCTCGTGGGAAAATTGGATGTGAACGATTTTACAATGATGGGGCATTCGTTTGGAGCAGCTACTGCTTTATATACCTTGTCAAAACGTAAGGAATTCAAGTAGGTACAACAAAATGTTTGTCCTTGTTATTCTCGGGCTAGGGTCTGTGGGGGCCGATCCACTATCAGAACCCCTAGACCCGGCCTGATGTTCATTTCGGTTCTTACTGTTCTAAATCCAAGCATTAGAAGTATTAGAAGGTCTCAGCAGCTTTAGAATTAACAAGAACCAAAATAAACATCAGGGCGGACCCAGGATTTCTGAATACGGCTCTAAGATTCCTAGCCAAGGAAATGCACAGTAAGAAAAGTATTATTTTGTGTTTGTACCCTACACCGTTCTCTAGGCAGGCCATTTTACTGGACCCGTGGATGTTCGCCGTCAAAAACGAAGACTTGGAAGTGAAGATAGACCAACCCCTTCTTTTCGTCAACACTCAGACCTTCCACATCAAACAAAACGTGAACGCCATGTCCAAATTCCTCACAAGAGACGACAGGAAGATGTACACCATAAAGTAACTATCGGAAACTTAAAAACCGATTAGAATTGACTGTTATTCTTTTAGACATACGACACACGAAAACCAATCCGACACGGTGCTGGTTATGGGGTACTGGCTCAATTGGTTCATGAAGAAACTCGATCCGCTCGTAGCGTTGAGGATAAACAACGCTCTCGTGGTAGAATTTCTCAACAGGCACGTAGATTGGCCCGTGGATATCGAGGAAGATAAACAGTACCTCAAGGAACAAAAAAATAATTTTGAATTTGGTCTAACCAAGCCATGGGCGTAATAAGTTTCTTGTAAATTAATTTGATCAATAAAATATATGGGCTAAGTGTAGTTTTATGTTTAACACGTCTACTGTGGTTGTATTTACTTCCAAACTTGATGAGATGAGACAAACATATTGTGTACAAGATTTTCATGTCTGAAGAAATAATGAAATTGCTATTGCTTAGACAACCAACATTGCACGGTTGGTATTATCAACTAAAAATCCGTAAATCTTAGCATCACCAATATTACTGATTCATTTACAATGAATGATAACAAACCGTTATATCTACACTCAAAATAGTGTGTGATCACTGATTGTTTCGCCGATAAAAACAGAATATTGTGTTTTAACGTAATATTCAGCTTATTTTTAATTACCAACAAGAAGGAAATAAAATTACTGTTCCAAACGAAATTACTGGTCATGTGACTTGTAAACATTTATACTGTATAAAACGTAATTCTACGTAACTTCCCAATATTTTGAAAAATTGTTACTTAAAAGATGCTTATATCCTCATTAAATTAAAAGCAAACAAGAACTTGCATACATATAAAAAAATAACTAGTAGCTTAAGAATTTATTAATTCAGTTAAATATTGACTAGATATAATTTCAAGAATTTGTTAAAAAAAAATTTTTTTTCCTTTTTGAGCTCAGTGAATAAAAATGCAAATACGTATACCTTTTATATTATATTCACTTTCTACTTCTGTCAGCTGAGTCTAAAAAAAATATTGGAGTATATTCAAACTTCTTAATTGCTTCATAAAACAATTGATTTTTGTCATCTTGACCTTATTTGAGTACTAAAATAAATAAAATATGCTTTGCTACGTCACTATGCGAAAACTTCAAATCCAGTGCCAAATTTTTAGAATATTTTTGTTTATTGCAGTGGCATCAACTTCTTCCGATTTGACTGACATAAGCAAGGGTGCGTTCCGAAATTGTCTTCAGTAGAAATTCAGTAAAACGCATTAAAAATTTTTGTTAAGAGGAGTTGGCAAAATGCTAGGGAAACGAGTGTACAAACCTTCGAGCATGTACTACTTGGAGGTAGCATGCCATTGCGAAATGTGTGCGAGAGAGACAGACAGTATCTCGGTAACTGCTATCTCACTCTAGCACGCACGCCTTGCGGATCCAATTAGCGCGAGCATTAATTTCCAACCAATCGCGTGCGTGCTAGAGTGAGACAGCATGTACTGAGACACTATCTGTCTCTCTTGCACACTCAGCCACACTTTTCGCAAGGACATGCTACCTCCAGTAGTATATGCTCGAAGGTACATACAAACCTAGTGAAGAATGAACACACCGTATTTTGCATCAGCTGTTGATATGCGAATCAGTAGGGTTAGTTAAGGTGGCCAGTTCCTAGCGGGCAGCCGACCAGAGCACACGTGTTTTGTGAAAGTGTAGTGCAAGGAGCAATTTCTACCTGCCTTTATTAAGGCTACCTGGAAAGAATCCCTTTCTTTCCTTTTAATCACCGACCTAATCCCCGGCTTAAGCATAGACGCCGTCGGCATCTCTGTTACAGCACCTGTGCCGGGGTTATGCCCAGGTAAGTTTTTACTTATTTATCAGTTATTTGCATTACTTTAGAATACATTTCTTTAAAATTGCGACCCCCGACAAACAATATACCAGACAGACAAATACACCAAAAGACACGTACGCCCCCGTGAGGGGGCATCCCCACACGACTAACACTTACACACCTTCCC